TCCTGTCTCAATAAAACAAAAGAATAAAAGAGCGAAAACACACAAATTTCTGGTGTTTTCAGCCCGGTTACTCAGAAATATACGACCCAACTGTATTGGGCAAAAGTAGTTAAAAGTGCTGGTTCACATCAAGAATCCCAAATCAAGAAAAGAAGATCTGACTGCTTTCCAACTTAGCATTAGAAGATATGCGCTGAAATTTAAGAGGAACAGAGCTCAGTGTCTGAGTAAAATCTGAACCCCTCCCATTTCTAGGAATCCACTGCCCTCCCGCCCTCCCAAGCCCTAAAAGCAGGCCAAAACGAAAAGCTTTATTTTTAACCTTTCCTTAGCCACTGGGCATCCATCTCCTGCGTTCCTAAAGGGTTAACAGCATAACGTAGCCGGTTCTAGCTTCAGGATCCCCGGGGTTTGAAAGCTGTTAACTGTGACCTTGCAGTGACAGGGCTCTGGTGTCTTTTAAGTTTCTCCTGGGAAACACTTCCAAATAACTGTACTTACCTGGCAGGGCGCTGACAGAATGCAGAAGCGTCCCCTATCCTCATGGCAATAATCTGACGAACAAGCACGGAAAGAGCTCTGCAACGAGGCTGGGACCCGGAAAATAGGGATACAGAGATCCTCGGCACCCTTGCTGGGGCTGGGTCGGTGTGCTGAGGATGCACGTTCCAGGGAAGAGCGCGCTGAGCGCTCCGGGAGGAAGAGCGCCGGAGGGGGGGTGACTTTGGAGAGATGTAATGGAGCGGGTCTCGCTGCCCGGGAACGCGCGGACGCCGCTCTCCAAGTCGCACAGATGGGTCCCTGGACCCCGCACGACGCGGATTTAAAACGTCGGGGAAACCCACAGGGGCCCCCAAGCCCGGTGGCGCCCGTTCCCTAGACCCCGAGCCTAGCGCCTTCTGACAACGGCCGGCACCCGGAAGCTCGGTGTGGCCGGGAAAAGTGCGGCCAGGTCCAGGGCAGGCCGCGTCCTCCGGGCCGCGCCGCCGGGTCGGGGAGCGGCCGCCGCGCAGCCCCGGGCTCGCCCGATCCCGCGCCGCGCTCACCTTCCAGCAGCCGTTGGATGATGCTGTCGATGTTAAGTTTATCGATATCCGCCATCGCCGTGCCGCCGCTGACCCTGCCGGAGCGGCGCCGCCGCCGGCTCGCACCCGGGCCCCACTTGTCCTTCTTCCTCACACCACGAGCCCCGCGGGCGGTGGTGGCGGCGGCGGTGGCACCAGCAGCCGCGGCGGGTTCCCCCCCCCAGCCGCCCCGCTCCCGGCTTCCTCTTCTTCTCGCCACTGGAACCACGAGAAGAACAAAATGGCCGCCAACTCCTCAGAGCAGCCTCGGGCGGCGCACGAATGAGCGCGCGGGAGTGCATCGGCCGGCCGGGACTTCTTTGAGGGTCCACAGGGCGGCAGAGAGGGGGAGGGGCCTTGGCGGATGGGGAGGGGCTGATGGCGGATGGGGCGGGACTGGTGGCGGAGGGGCGGGGTCTGGTTGTGCTGGGCGGGACTTGGGGCGGAACCTGGGCGGAGACGGTTGAGTGGTCCTGCGTCCGCGCGCGGGATCCTTCCGCCAAACGGGCCGGGGAAATAGGCCCTCCTCGCCGGAGCATGAAGTTGCAAGGCTGGCACCGGAGAGTTGGAGCTGGGAGTTCGGAGACTGCTGTACCCTGCGAGGGTCGCGGCTCGGTCCGGTCCTGCTACTGTGGGCGGATGTCTGCAGTCCTGGCGGAGTTGGGAGCCCACCAGGGATGAGGGAGAGCCAGGAACCCGCGCCCTAGGACCCGTCTGGGTGGGGATGCAGATGGGGGATCAGGAATATTTGGGATTCCAGTACGCTGGGACTTTAAAGACAAAAGTTTGGAATAGAATGGTAGGAGGGCTTGCTTAGCATATGTGAGGCCCCAGTACCACCAGAAAATCGTAACAGTAACATGATAAAGTACGAAATTCAAATATTAAAAAAAACTTCCTCAGAAAAGCCGAAACTTCCTCAAATAATCCATTGTGCGTGGTGTATACTATTTCAATAATGTGTATCATTTGTGTGTGCTACTTTATTTTTCATTTTGGTGGAGAGGCTGGGAGCACTGTCAAACATGCCACTCTATCTTTGGAGTATCTTTCTTTTACTCAGTTATACAATGGTAAGGCGTTTGAATGAGCAACAGATAAAAAGAGTATTTGCACATTTCGCGCGCCCAGCCGCGGGCAGGAGGAGCGAGGGTTTGGGGGCTGCTGTGCGCGCCTGGCTCCGGCACAGGCCAAGAGAAACTTGACGGGCTCCGGGTCTCTGGCTTTCCAGCCTTGCCCAGAGCACCCCGCCTTCAGGGGGACCCCTAAACCGTGCTGCTTCGGGCACTGGCTGGATGTGGAAGAGCAAGCCCACCGACGTTCCCATTGTTCTCGCTCTCCCAGCAGCACTTCACAGGTTGCAAAGTCCTTCCCCCACCCCAAGTTCATTTTGTTCCCGAGGCACTCTGGATGCACGGATTCCCTTCCCGCGGCGACGTGGCACGTGGGGCACGCGCCCAAATCTGGGCAACTCACTGCTGCGGTGGAGGTTGGGGAACCCCTGCACGCAGCTGGCTCCGCTGTCCGCTTTGCACAGTCAGCAGCTCGCTCTCCGGTTCTAGTGTTCGGCCCACAAATCACACAAGGGTCATTTGCCAGTCCAAGGCACAGCGCCCATGATGACGTTTGGGATCGATGTCAAGCCCTGGGATAAATACCTGTCTGTGGAGGTCGGAGTGACTCGGGCTCCTCCTGCTTATGGGGTTATCATCGCAACGGTACCTCAAGCAGAGATTCACTCAGGAGACAAATAGAGTGCCTGCTATGTGCCAGGTTTTGTTGGAGACTGGAGTATGCAGGACAGACAAGACCTTTCTTCCACAGGAGAGTCTTTTAGTAAGTCAGACAATACACAAAGATACATATAAAAACATCACTGGCAACTGCGATGGAGGGACAGAGGCGCTGCACTCGCAGAAGTATGTGTCAAAAACTACCTCATTGTGGGGCCTAGAGAGATGGCTTAGCAGATGACTACCTCCAAGCCTGATGGCATGAATTTGCTCCCTGGGACCCACAGGGTGGAAGGAGAGAACTAACTCCCACAGGTTGTCCTCTGACCTCTACACAGACATATACACAAAATGAATAAAATGTAATAAACTTTTCTAGAAAATTATTTAACTACTTTATTGAATCCCCAACACAATTCTAGAGACTATATACTATCATCCCCATTTTACAGATAAACAAAGTGAGGCACAGAGAAGCTAGGTTGTTTGCTGAAGGTCACACAGTTTGCTCACAATTTCCAGGTGCAGGGCTAGAACTTTGGGATAGCCTAAAACTTTTTTGAGACAGGGTCTCACTGTCTCACTATGTATGTAGGTAGTCCCAGCTGGTCCATTTGGAATTGGTTGTAACCCAGGCTGATCTGGAACACACAGTGATCCACCTGCCTCAACCTCCCAAGTGCTGGGATCAAGGGTGTGCATTCCCACACCCTGCCCAGCTCTAGCTTTTTGAAATATACAGGTGATGGTTAATCTTCATTGTCAGATAGACTGGATTGAGAGACACGGGAAGATCAGTGAAATCTATAGTTGTTTCAGTTTACCAGGAAAGTGTGTGCAGAGGGCGCCAAGCTGATTTTCTCAACTCAATGATGGATTCAAAATCTACCACAAATTGGTGGAACTGTGGTAGGCAGGGCCTGGCAGAAGGAAACAGGTCATTGGTGCTTTAGCTCTGAGCCATCCTCTTCCTGTGAGGAACTCTGCTTCCTGGCCCCTATGCAGATACCAGGGGAGGCTTCCTCTACCATGTTCTGTGGAGCAGGGTCCTACAAGCTTCTGGGTCCAGCCCATCTTGGCTGGAAAGAGCTCTACCCATGAACCCCAGAGATCCATTCCAGCCCTCTTTTTAGTTTTTTGTTTTGTTTTGTTTTGTTTTGAGACAGTTTCTCCCTGAAGCCCCAAGCTGGCCTGGAAACCCACTATGTAGACCAGACTGGCCTCCATCTCATAGAGATCAACCTGCTTCTGTCTCAGTGCTGGGATTAAAGGCACAGACCACCACACCCGGCTCTTTTCACAGATTATTTTCAGACAGGCTCTCAACTAAGTTTCCCAGGCTGGCCTTGAACTCATTCTGTAGCCCAGGCAAGCCTTGAATTTACAATCTCCCAGTATCTCCAGTAGCAGCAATGACAGGTCTCCCCACCAGGTTAGGTTTCCGGACCATTTCTGTCACCTCAAAGCAAACCCATCCCCATTAGCAGCCACCCCTATTCTTCTAGCTTCCTAACTCCTAGAAACTTCCAGTCTGTTTCCCCTCTCTGCCTTCATCTATTCTGAACATTTAATGTAAGGAGAGTCACACAGTAGGTAACCTTTCCCATCTGACTTCTCAGTCAATAGCATTTTTGAGGTCCATGGACACTGGCACATACAAAATCTTCATCCCTTCGTGTAGTGGAGGGCCCTGAGCACCCACCTGTGTTTGGCTTGTCCATTCATCTGTGGTTGACATTTTAGCAGAATAGGAACCTGCAGTCCAGGAAACTTTAATGTCTTCCCTCAGGTCACAGAATAAACAGACCAGCTGGAGCTCTGGATTTTAAACTATGGTGCCCAAGGCCAGGCCTGGTGGCACACGTCTTTAATCTCAGCACTCAGGAGACAGAAGCAGGAGGATCTCTGTGAGTTTGTGGCCAGCCTGGTCTACATAGCAAGTTCCAGGCCAGCCAGAGGGACATAGTGAGACCCTGTCTCAAAAAAAAAAAAACCCAACCAAATAAGTAAATAATAATAAAGTAAAATATAAACTATGTCACTGAAACTTTCACCTGACTTAACTGAATCAGAAATTTCCTAATGAGCTAAGCCTAATGAAGCATAACCTTGATCCCAACATGGAGGTGGTAAAGGCAGGAGGATCAGAAGTTCAAGACTAGCCTGAGGCTACATGAGGCCCTATCTCAAAAAAAAAAAATGCTTGCTTCAGCAGCACTTACACTAAAACTAGAATGATTCAGAGAAGATTGACATGGCCCCAGAGCCAGGATGACATGCAAATTCCTGAAGTCTTCCATATCTTTTTATTTATTTTTACATTTATTTATTTATTTTGTGAGTATGTATATAGGCGGGTACGTGTGCCACAACTTTCATGTGGAGGTCCAAAGACAAAGGTCTTGGGGATTGGGTCTTGGGCTTGGTGGCAAGTACCGTTATCCATTGAGAGCATCTTGCTAGCCTACGTCCATTTTTTTTTTTTTTTTGGCTGTGAAATTCATCCAACCTTTATTGAACTGGGAACAGTTGCCAACATGGCTTTGAAGGCTTCCCCAGGTGCAGTCTCTGCTGAGGAAAGGAAACTAAGGCAGAAGAGTAGGTGGGAGAGATGGGAGGACTCAGAGAGAAGAGCAGCAGGCAGGAGAAGGAAGGGACACGGGGAGTGCAAAGGTGGATTCTAGGGAGGCCACCCCACACAGAGGCAAAGACCACCGGTTATGTCTGCCCTGACTTGGTGGCCGCAGGAACATAGAGGAAAGACCACAGGTCGTCAACAAGACATTTGTCCTTCTTGCTTTAGGTGGCTACCAAGAGGGGCTGACGGGGGGGGGGGGGGGGTGTCTCAGGATTCTGCCTTCAGGGCTCATGGCACTGAGCCAGGACTGCTTGGATGACTGTTCCTGCAGAGAATCTGGGTTCAATTCCCAGAACCCAAATGGCAGCTAATAACCATCTGTAACTCTAGTTCCAGGGGATCTGGTGTCCTCTTCTGATCTCCTCAGACATTGCATAACACGGGTGCACCTACTTACATGCAGGCAATATATAAAATGAAAATAATAAGTAAAAACATTTTTTTTAAAAAAAGCTCAAAGAATTAGTTAAACCTTGGAGCAAAGTACTTTACTTATTGGTAATTTTTTTATTTTTTTGGTCTTTTTGAGACAGGGTCTCCCTGTAGCCCCAGGTGGCCTGGAACTCACTATGTAAACCAGGCTGGCCTTGAACTCACAGAGATCCACCTGCCTCTGCCTCCTGAGTGCTGGGATTAAAAGCAGGCGCCACCACACCCGGCACTTATTGGTAATTTTTAAAAAGTGAACTGGGCATGGTGGCGCACACCTTTAATCCCAGCACTCAGTAGGCAGAGGCAGGCAGAGCTCTAGGCAGAGATCAAGGTCAGCCTGGTCTACACAGCAAGTTCCAGGCCAACTGGAGCTACAGGAAAGAAAAAAGGGGGGAGGGTGGCTCAGTGACAGAGCACTGGCCTAGCTTGTAGTAGGGGCCTGGGTTTCATCCTTAACACTAATAAAAACAACAAAAGAAAAGAACCCCTCCCCAAGGAACCCCAAATGTAGAATTATTTAAAGGTATTCACCCTTTCTCTCATACTCAGTTCACAAAAATTAGCATTTGGTCATATTGACTTAGATTCAGGTGAAAGCAGAAAAGACAAAGTATTTCAGTAGAGGACCCTGGACCACTCACACCCTCTGCCTTCTCCTTTTCCTCCCAGAGTTTCAGCAAGCTACAGCCTAGGATTCCCAAATTCTCTAATTCACAGCCATAAATAAGTTTACCATCAACAAAGAAACACAGGCGTAAGCCTGGTATAGTGGCACATGTCTTTAGTCCCAGCACTCAAGAGGCAGAGTCAGGCAGATCTCTGTGAGTTCAAGGCCAGCCTGATCTACACAGTGAGTTCAAGGCCAGCTGGGGCTACAGGGAGACCTTGTCTAGAAAAGACAAACAAAGAGCATACTGCAGAGAACTGGAGTTTAATTCCCAGCACCAACAGTGGGTAGCTAACAGCCACTGGTTACTCCAGCTCCAGGGGATTCTGATGCCTTATGTCTTTTATGGGCCCTGTACTCACATGTATATACCCATGTACACACACGTACACATAATTAAAAATAATAAAAGTAGGGCCTTAAGAGATGGTTCAGCAGTTAATAGCACTGGCTACTCTTTCAGTGTACCTGTGTGTGGTTCCCAGCACCCACATGGCAACTTATAACTATCCATAACTCCAGTCCCAGGAGATCTGATACCTTCTTCTGTTTTCTGTGGGCATTGCATGACACGGGTACACTCACATACATGTAGGCACAACACTCATAAAAATAAAAAAGTTACTGGGCATGGTGGCGCACGCCTTTAATCCCAGCACTCTGGAGGCAGAGGCAGGCGGATCTCTGTGAGTTCAAGGCCAGCCTGGTCTACATAGTGAGTTCCAGGACAGCTGGGGCTACAGGGAGACCCTCTCTCAAAAAGACCAAATAAATAAATAAATAAAAATAAAAATAAATAAAAAAGTTAAAAATTAATAATTAAGTAAATCTTGAGAAAAAAAATGCCCAGATTATGAAATGGTATGATTGACAGCCAGCTGTTTTTTAAAATTTTCCATTTGGCAAAAGAAAAACAATGCAAGTGTGGGAGGAATGAGACATAGCTTAGGGTACATTTGTGCATTGAGAGGCAGGGATACACTCTAGCTGCATTCCACAAGAAGGCATCTCAAAGCTGATGGAGGCCAGAAACAGCCCCAAGCAGAAGGAGCAGGACCATGAGATGCTCTGCTAGGAAGAGATTAGAACAGTACAATATTATGTATTCAGGGCAGCATTTTTCCATCCTTTGAGAGTATCACAGTGGGCTGTAAGGAAGATATTTTGCTCCCCAAACCAGCCCACCTCCACAGAGACAGAATAGTTGAATGAAAACTGCATGTTTGTTGCTTACAGGTCCAGCGAGATAGTTCTGAGGGTAAGAATACTTACCACACAACCTGACAACCTGGATTCAAGCCCCAGAAACCAGGCAAAAGTGGAAGGAAAGAACTGACTCCTGAAAACTGTTCTCTGACTTCCATACCGGCCATTACATAAACACACACACACACACACACACACACACACACACACACTTGAGATAATAATGCATAAAAAATTTTAAAGATGTTGCTTATGGATCTACATGCAAAGCAGATTGTTGGGTCTAATGTTATGAGATGTCCATCAGAGGAGACCACTCAGACACAGAGTATTGCCAAAGAAAGTCTCTATAGCTGGTTGGATTAGATCCTGAGTGCAGTTGGAGCCTTTCTCAGGGTAGGCTTTTATACAGAAAAAAAACATCCTCTTTCGCTCAGGGGTGGAAAGCTCCCCCAACAGTTTTTCATAACTCAGGAGTGGAAAAGTTCCCAACAGTTTCTTCCTGCAGGTGCAAGTCAAGCAGAGCAGAAAGTACAGAAGCCAGAAACAAGCAGTTAGCAAGAGTGACCAGGTACATGACCTTTTCTCAAACCCACATCCTGGTGCTGCCGGGCCAAACTTCTCAAAGTGAACCCACACTTTGAGTCAATTGCCTCTAGTTTTCACTTGCTGGGATTAGCTAGGACTGTAACATGACAGAGCTATGGTCAGTCTTGGGGTGTCCCATCACACTAATCTGTACTACCCTCTTATCCTTGTTTTATCTTGCTGTATATTTGTGCTGGATAGCTTTAGTGTCAACTTGACACACGGGGGTTGGAGGAGCCTCAATTGGGGAACTGCCTTCATTGGACTGGCCTGTGGCCATGTCCATGGGGCATCTTCTTGATTGTTGAGAGATGTGGGAAGGCCCAGCCCACGGTGGTGTGTGGTGCCACCCCTGGGAAAGTGGGCCTGTGTTGCATAAGAAAGCAGGCTGAGTAGGGACCAGGGAAGCAAGCCAATAAGCAGCATTCCTCCATGGCCTGTACTCCAGCTCCTGCCTCCAGGTTCCTGCCCTGAGTTCCTACCTTGGGCTTCCAGATGAACTGTGACCTGGGATATGTAAGCTAAATAAACCCTTTCCTCCCCAAGTTGGTATTGGTCAGAGTGTTTTGTCACAGCAGTGAAGAAACAAACTAGGACAATCTTTTTTCTTTTCTTTTTTTCATGTGCACGAGTGTTTTGCCTATATGTATATATAGGCACCATGAGCATACCTGGTGTTTGTGGAGGCCAGAAGAAGGCATCAGATCCTGTAGAAGTGGAGTCGCAGACAGTTCTTAGCCACCATGTGGGTGCTGAGAACCAAACCTAAGTTCTCTGAAAGAGCAATCAGTATTCTTAACTGCTAAGCCATCTCTCCAGCTCCTTGGTGTTCTTTTTTTTTTTTTTTTTAAAGGACAAGGTCTTGGGGCTGGAGCGATGGCTCAGCGCTTAAGAGCACTGACTGCTCTTGCAGAGGACCTGATTTTGGTTAGCACATGGCTGATAACAACCATTCATAGCTCCAGTTCCAGGAGATTTAATGCCCTTTTCTGACCTCTGTAGGCACTGTATGACACGGGTGCACTTACGCACATGTGGGCAATACATTCATACACATAAAATAAGAATAATAAAAATCATTGACCCAAAGCAACTTGGGGCACAGGGGAAGATTTATTTCACTTTACAACTTACAGTCTATCGTGGTTTTATAAAAGATAAGGTCTCACTGTGCAGGTCCAGGTTGCTTGGAACTCATGATGTTCCTGCCTCCACTTCTGAAGTACAGGCACTACAAGCCTGTGCCACTATGCTCCAATCTCTATTTTACTAATTAATTAGCCAAATAAGTCAGAGACTCATTATGCAGCTGTAGCTGGCCTGCAACTTGACATGTAGATTATGCAGGCTTCAAACTCACCGAGATCTATCTATTTGCCTTGCCTCCTGTGAGGGATTAAAGGCATGCACCTCCATGCCTGACACGATTCTTTTCATTTTTTATTTTTTTGAGACAGGGTCTCTCCATAGCCCCAGATGACCTTGAACTTGTTCTGTAGACTAGGCTGGCCTTGATCTCACAGAGTATACTCTACCTCTGGAGTATTAGGATTAAAGGCGTGCATCACCACAACCCACTCTATTACTATTTTTGAAATGTTGGTTGTGACCCGACCCTCTGAACTGATTTTCTGACTTGCCAAAGGCTAGTGAGGAGCAGCTTGTAAAATACTGGCTTGTAAACATCCACCATACAGAAGAGGAGGTGGGGTGTTTGCTAGTTGTATTATTCAGGAAGAGACGAGGTGGGTACAGTGGTGTAATTATCTTTGTAA